AGTTATAGATTTACGGCGCTTTTAAATCTAGAGTCATGGCAAATCCATCTTGGACAGATACACCGGCCGTGGGCGTAACGTGATGATACGGATCGCGTCGTCAATACTCGCATAGTGCAGAGAGAACGGCTCGGTGAGAATGCTGTCGTTCACACTGGCGCCTTCCAGACTGGACAGATGGTGGATCATTCGCAGTTCGCCGTGGTCAGCAGATAAAGTGGTCAGCTAGAAAGAGGGGGGGGGGGGGCAGAGTGTACTTCAAGTATATGAAAGAAGCTATGTACAGAGCAGTGATGCATGCGAACCTATGTTTCACGAACGAATACTCTATCGAATACCAAATCTTCGAACGAACGAATATTCTAGGATTCGATATAGTTCAGAAGACGAACAAATCCGCTATCTCCAACAATAGACACCGGCCGCAAGTTCTCCGTGCACCACGTGGAGATCAGCACCGTTATGTCCACCCGCCGCTTCGTTGAAATTTGTTGACGGCCCAGAAACTTCTGCATTGCGTCTGCGCTTTTCGCCTGGGACACCTTCGCATCCGTGGCAGCTACAACCGTCGGGCAGCAAACATGCCGTCGGGTAAGATGTTCCCCCCATTGAGCTCGTAGTCGAGCCATTGATGTTGAGCTTCGTCTCGCAGAGTTTGCATTGAACTTTTGTGCCTCCATCGACTTTCTCGAAGTGCTCCCAAGTGGAGCTGCTACGACCAACTGTGCCAGAAGCCACCACGAAAAACGAGCTGGATGTCAAAACTAACTGTCAAGAACCAACTTTTTATTATTCGAATGTTCGTTTCCCGGGAAAATTCAAATATATATTATTCTCTTCTTTCTTTCTTTCTTTCTTTTTGCGCTGTTTTACCACCTTCTTACTGTATATATTATTCTGTTTGACTATTCGTGTCCATCACTGGTACAGAGTCAAGTGACTCAGTAGCCATTCTACTGGGAGCGACGGGGTGGTCGATTGGCTGCGCGCTGCTGCTGCTTGCACCTGATGCGGGGGTGGTCCTTGCCACACTGGCCGCAGGTGTGGGAGAAACGGCACGACGATGATGAACAGCCGCCGCAGTTGAAGTTGCGGCAGATTTCTTGGCTGTCGATGGTATGGGTGTGGCCACGAAAGATGAATGCTGCTGGCTTGGGGAATTGGGCTTGGGGACGAAAAGGACACAAACCCTCCTCTGGATGAACTGTCTTACATTGAGCGCATTTTGGGTGCACACGCCCTGTGAAGTCCATCTGCCACAGGTTCACGTCAATGGTGTCCAACCTCTTCGTGCCTGGCTGCTAGGCCATGAGCATCCGCAGCTGGCAGTCATACTCTAGCCCCGCGCTTGGGAAGAACTGGCGGTTAGCAGTCAAGATGAGCTGCTGATACGCACTCAATTTGGCAGTGCGGTGTACGGCAGCAGTCGTGATAACAGACATGTATATGGTCCATGCCTCGAGCCAGGTAGCTATGTCATGAACCTCACGGCGCACCTGCTTCACGTCATCAGAATGTTTAGCTGACTATCGTTGTTCGGATTATGCGCCAGCCAGAATGTTCCGTAATAGCGGCCGACTGAACCTCGTCCCGCACGAGTCGGCGCGGAGATCCATTGAGCCCGCGTCACTTGAACTGTTGCCAGGTGGTGGAGGAAGCATTGGTGCCGGTCGGGCTCCTGGCTGGCGGGCCGTGTCCGCACTTTCATGTGGCTGGCTTTTGAGGCTGGAGCATACCTCACTACCCAGGGCTAACTGTGCCAGCCAACAATCTTGGACTTGTAGACTACTTTTATTTCCTTTCGAATTCAAGCCGCGCTTAGAAAGGTCGCCATAGAGGGCTTGGCAGGTTATTGCCTTGACAGCTTCGACAGGTAGATCAGACATCTGAAGAAATACAGTGTCGATGTGACTCTCGAGCTGCAGGCAAAGCTACGAAAGGAAAAGAAACACTGCTGAATCCCGATCTGAGTTGTCTGGAAGAACACAAACTGGGCGAGCGGAATTGGTTTTTCTTTTCAGCAAATGTGGGCTGGGTGCCATTAATATTAAAATCCAAATTTTTTGTGATTGCCTAGCAAAAGCACTTGACGCCAGTCTTGAATGCAGTGCAGCATGTGCGCTAGTTCGGATTGTTACTAACGAGTGCAAGTACTAGCACAGCTAGAACAGCTAGTACGGAAGCCTCTTGTACGGGTAAAAAGAAATAGATTGTGAAATCAATTGTAATTGAAATGGAAGAAATCACATGGAAACGAGTTATGAAGCTACTATCTACGACTGTAACAAGATAATAAGCAGTCAGAAAGTGCGATAACAGTTATAGTACTTTCTGACTGTTTATCATCTTGTTACAATCGTGGATAGTTGCTTCATAACTCATTTCCATGTGATTTCTTTCGATTATATTTATTGGCTCAGTATCCGAGCAAAATCAATAATGATTAAAGAACACCAACGCAAAGGAAAGAGCAAGCGGAACACAATGCCATTGATCCGTCTAAACAACAAGGGTAGTTAGAGTACATTTAGTTTTAAGGACACCAAGACAGCATGGATGTATAACAGCAAACCAGTTGTGCACAGACCACACAGCAAGAAGGGCCACCTCATGCTCTTAGAGATCATCCGGCAATCATTCACAAAACTGTATCGCCGTGACCGGTATGTTGACAGAGAGCCACGCAGGCAGGTGATGCACCACCGAAGCAAACAAAATGAAAGGCGGCCACGCGAATGGCTTACAACAAATTAGTCTGCTACATCGGCATTCTTCTCCATGATCTGGCACACCAAGGCCTTTAGGAAGATAGAGCATTCCTTGCCGACTATGCCATCGGTTGAGAACACAAGAGGCGTGAAAGACCCACGATCGATCTGATTGATGCGCTCACTGTAGCTGCGATGCCTCTGCCTCTCATTCTTCTGGAGCTGGTTGGTGGTTTGCTTGCGTGACAGCAGGTCCGACCTTGGGTGTGTAACCCGGATATCGAAAAAGGCATCCTGCTGCCGCGTCCAAAAACCACCAACCCTGATGTCCAGCTAGTACTAGTACCCCCGTTTAATCCGAGCGACCCCCCCCCCCCCCCCCCCCCCCATGTCGGGCAATCTTGCAGCAGCTTGTTTTGCATCAAGAAGGCACTGTAACTTATGTCCCCCAGCTGACCAGCTTTCAAGTATGGGCTTGAAATCACCCACCAGATGGTGATTTACAAAACAGATATTCGATTTTAGATTTATTGTGGGTATACGTGTATGTGTGGCAAGTGTTTTGTGATACGTCGTCTACCAGGTCCTCTATTAGCATGGGTGTTGTATTGATGTGTGTATGTGTCTTGATCAGTTGCTTTGCTGACACCTGTGTTCCTGTCTGTGGCAGGTCTGCACTGGCTTACCTGGAAGGGAAGTTTGCCAACAGGCACCGTAGCTTCAAGGCCATGACGAACCAGGGCTCGCTGCTCAACACGATTGCATTCCGGAAAGAAGACGGCACTGCTGGTAGTGAGGTGAGAGGAATAGAGTGCTGACTGGGCTGTTTATCTTGTCCCGGTGGGTGACAGCTTGTGGACAGATCGGTCATGGTTAGGGATGGAAATGGGTGTGTATGCGCGTTGAATACTTGTTGTTCTCTACGGCGGAAGAGATTGGATATACATGTAGTGACACTCCTTGGGGCCAAGATCAAGGTCACTATAATTCAAACTGTCGCCGAACGTGATCTTGCCAGTTGGGCGCCAGAAGTAGTCGTAAAACTCAATCTGTCATTGTACTGATCTCTGACTGTGTTCATTTAGCCATGGTAAGTAATGTACAAAAGCTGTGTATGATGTAGTGTCATGCAATGCTACTGGCTGGCCCAATGCCATCCGTGATGACCTGGGTGTCACTTAGAAGGCCAGTCCATGGCCGGCACGATTTCATAATTTTTAAATTGATTTGTATCACATGGACACACTTGTACAGCAACCTTGTCCCTTTTTTTTCGGTACATTGATGTACTGTTTGATACCACGTGCCGGTAGTGCTGGTAATGCTGGTAATGCTGGTGTTGGTGCTGGTGCTAGGCAGCGCTAGGGTGATGGCCACAGTCTGCCCAGCAAGCCCGACACGCTTATGATGAAGTAGCCTTGGTTCAGTGTGTTGGTTGGGTAACAGTAACTGCTGGAGTTAGCATGCCTGTAGTAACATTGGTAAGCCTCTATGTCTTGACCAGGGCAGTGAGCTGGCTCCATGTCCTGGGTCCATTGTCCTGTCTATAAGTCTGAATTTACTTTTTAAGTGCGTGTCATTGTTATTGTAACTGTTATTTAATAGGATAGGAGCAACCTTGCTTGGAAACATCTCGGAGAATGCATTCCATCGTGGCAAATGCCAAAGTGTGTACAATAATAAAGTGTCATTTTCCTGATTGGATGGGAGTCTATGCTTAATTGCTGGATACAGTCCTGTAGATCTGGGGGTTGTTTCAGGAGACTCTTGGCTCTATGGTCCAGCACTGTAGCAACGTCCTGCTGGTACAGTACATGTACTGTCTGATAGTGCAGGTAGACTGATCAGCATGCACAACCCTGCACAGTGCCAAGTGTACCTTGGCTGTTTTGGCATTTAGAAAGCTGGGACATGACTATTCAGTAGTAGACAATCAGTGTTAGCGTGCCAGTTAGTTTATACTCTGTTACTGTACATGACCTGGTCACCTGGTGTATGCATGTACAGTTGACAGTGTACTCTGCCACAGACTAACATACATGTACTGGGAAATACTTTGAAGTATGCATGTACAGGAAAAGAAAGGCACAACTTGGCTATTGCTACTGCACCTTGGACTGGAGCTTCTTGCCTAAGCAATGGTCGATCGGTCAGGTGATTGCATATATTCTCTCTCTCTCATTGCACCGCCAACTTGCAGTAGGGGAATACATGTACATGATGGGATCAATGCACTGGTGATGCCTAAAGACTCTGAAGTACAGTGGGTGGGTGGACAGCACAGTGGAAGTGCTACACTGGTATGGCTGTTGCGGTGTAGCTGTTGACACTGATTGCCACTATACTGCTGTGCTGGCTGCCTTATCTATCCCTAATCATGCCAACCACCTGATAGCTGGGGCAGTGTAAGAAGTCAGAAGAACTGAATTGTGGTGTTGAGCTTTCATGTCAGTATTATTTAGAGATGATAATCAGTGATATGCTTGTGCAGTGCGGGTACCCTGGTATCTTACCTACAGATGTACATGTAAGTTACATCAGCACAATGCACAGATGTACATGTACATTGTAGCATGTTCCTTACTTAAGAGCATCACCACAATGATTGTGTTGATCCATGTGTAGTGGAACATCATCGCCAGGATGTGATGGTAAAATAAAAATAAAAAGTGAAGTTCACACGTTCGCGTTACCACCGGCTATGTAATTGTGTTAAAGAACACAACCAGCTTAGGATATGATGGTGCTGGCAGCAATAGCTCCAGCACCATCATCACATCAGCAGCAACAGTAGCCATCTCTAGTGTTAGTGTGCAGTGGGCAGTGTGCAGTGGGCATGTTGTTGGTTGTGTCTGGAGGTGGTCATGCAGTTGTTTGCAGTACGTCTTGGACTGAACAATCAGGGCATTGTGCAATACTGTTTCTTGTAGTCCGGTGTGGTGTGACATCAATGTTGACTACAACGGCACACAGTAGTTGTTCTGCGTGATACCATTGTGCAGTACAGCACTGACATAGCGGATGTACACACTCCACACACTGTGGTCATCAGCAGAGCACCTGGCCCCAGCACACTTCACCCTACACATTACATTGTAGTGTTTTAACATCATTCCCACATACTGTTCAGTATTGTCCCAGACTTCCCCCTCTTGCCTGGGTTGTACTTGTAGCAAGCTACATGTACATGATCTGATGGGATCATCCCTTGTGTACAACTCATTATGTGACATAGTACCTGTAATTGTAATACAGTCCGCTGCCTCTAACTCATACCACACCCCTACATGATTGTACGTGTACTGGTCATCAGATGTATGCTTCCACTAGCACTGCAGGCATAGCTCAGCCAGAGTTGAGTCACACTTCTTATGGACTATGATGTACTATGACTATGTGTTGTACATGTACAGTTTGGACGTGGACTGTTTACACAGTGCATGTGTACAGATTGAGTACATTGCAGACTGAGTACACTACAGACACTACAGATTCTGTACACTGCAGACACTACAGACTCCGTACGCTGTAGTAGACAAGTACTAGTACATGTACATGTAGCTGTAGCTGGGATGGTGTTTCAAGTGTTCATGTACTGTCCCGGCCGTGTTTCTGCCGTTGCGTAACGTATACATGCGTGCACTTCCACACCGTGACGGGCAGACAGGCACACTATGTAGTAGTATGTACAGTGTGTTAGTATGGTGGCTGTTGTACATGTACACGGCAGGTGGCTACATGACCATGCCCGGCCTACATCATAGTACATGTACACACTCCCTGGGCGTCACACAACACCACTGTCTAAATGGAGAAGTACACAGATCTGCCGGGTTAGTGATTGTGCCAAGACGGAGGTACTGCTGTGCCCATTATGCATGTTCGTGTCGATGGATCCCGGTGACATTGCCTGCAACCACACATTTGGAACCACACGCACGCACACACGCACGCACAGACACACGCACCACACACACACACACACACACACACGCACACACGCGCGTGCGCACGCAGACACACGCACCACACACACACGCACCACACACACACGCGCGCGCACGCACGCACACACGCACCACACACACACACGTGCGCGCGCACGTGCACACACATTGTGGTCTTACGTTAATCTTTCACTTTCAATGTGACTGGGAGGACATGACTGCACATGTACTGGTGCCTGTTTTCTCCATGACGGGTATGTGTGATGTCCAATCTCGTTTATCACCACAGTGCACTCTGAAGTAACTACCATATTTTCCCGATTATTTGTCGCTCTCAATTCTAAGTCGCACCCCCTTTTTCAGATCTGAGCCAAATTATTTCAATACATTCACATTATGAATGTGGGCCAAGAGCGCAGTGTGGAGAGGTGGACGGTTAAGATTATTTTCAAATGGCCAAGTTTGTCGCTACTTCTGAGTTACAATTCACATGCATGTATGTAGGAAGTAACGCCCAATTGTAAGCCGCACCCCGTCTTTGCTCTTCGAAGTTTAGTGTGAAAATGTGCGACTTATATTCAGGGAAATACAGCAGTCATTGGACTCATTTCCTAATGCTTGAGCTCATCAGCGGCACTTGCACTGTATGTGCTGTGTACACGGCTGTGTACGTCACTGATGGGTACTACTAATAAAGAGTGCATGCTACTGTCACTGATTGCATGCATTCAGTGGTCCATGCACTGCACTGGATAGTGCTGGAGATGTGTTTGTAAACAATCATAAAGTCCTCATAACGTGTTAGAATACTAGTAGATGGCACAGCCATCCCCCCCCCCCCCCCCCAACACACACACACACACACACACACACACACACACACTGGTCTGGTCTGGTAATGTAATTGTGAGTGACCATCCTTCACATCTCATCAAACCACTACACCGTGGAGTTCTGTGGGGCATTCTACTGACAAACTGCCAACACTGCAACACTGCATAACTGAATGGGTGAATTACAGCTAAGTGGTGCCTACTTGATTTGTTGCGTGACACAGTGAGCAGTCTTGTCCACATCTTCTCACTTTTGTGGCCAATTGCAGTGACACCAAAAGGGGTTTGTGCTAATGAGATGTGCTCTCTGACAAGCTGTGCTCTGCCCCTGGGCAGTTGTCAGTTGTATAATGTGCCTGACTTGATTTCTGTAGGTTTGTTTACTAGTCTCACTTTACAGGGAGCAAGTGTGATGTCGGCTAGCCAGCAGTATAATGCAATAGTGCAATAATGTCCCTGGGTGTTAGCAATAATGTCTCTGGGTGTTAGCAATAATGTCTCTGGGTGTTAGCAATAGTGTCCCTGGGTGTTAGCACCTTCAAACTGCAGTACAGCTGTGCTCCTTTCTTGGCTATTGCCCTCTATACGTCGGCGTGCCCCTGTGTCGGCTAACACCACTGCTTCCTAGCCAAATCCTCGGGCTGGTGGGTAGAACGGGGCCATTCACAGGTGTGTGTATGCCAACATGACATTGTATCATAGCAGGGGAATTTATGTAAGCACTCAGATTCCATGTGATCAGCATGTTCATATACAGAAGTTCCCAAAAAGCACTCCATGTATTCGACTGTTTTCTGTGTTATTGTGTTTTATGTGAAATGTTCGTCGGAATATGCATGATACCTGTACAGACTCCAGAGGCATGTGTACAGAGGCATGTGTACAGAGGCATGTGTACAGAGGCATGTGTATAGCCATGCAATGTGTATAGCCATGCAATGTGTATAGCCATGCAATGTGTCGTTCTACATGTACTGAAGCACACATACCTTCTTCATGCAATATTCCACGTGCAGTGTTTGAGTATCTGTTGACATTCCCTTGGGCTTGTGCTGAATGGTCACTGATGCAAAACACTACGGTGACAGCTTTATTGTGCTGTGTGTATGCTGTGTATGTACATATGTATGTGTGTATGGTATGTATGTGTGTATATGTGTATGTGTGTATGTATGTGTGTATGGATGTATGTATGTGTGTATGTGTGATTTATTGTGCTGTGTGTATGCTGTGTTTGTATGTGTGTGTATGGTATGTATGTGTGTGTATGGTATGAATGTGTGTATATGTGTATGTGTGTATGGTGTGTATGTGTGATTTATTGTGCTGTGTGTATCATGTGTGTGCGTATATGCTCCTTGCTCCTTCCTGCTATCTCTGCGGGTGACCTGTGTCTGAAACAGTGTGTTGTGATAATCTCGCCAGAGTCTTGTTTCACGTGTGGTGTCACAGATCATATCGTAATGATTACCGTATTGTCCTGTGAGGTCTGCGGGTGTGCTTGATCCCTTCCGGATCTCTGCTTCGTGTCGAGGTGCATGCTCCTGCTCCTGCTACTGCATATCTCAGTGTTCACAGATGACAGGGCTAAAGTGTGTGAGGAAGTGTCACACTCGGTATTGGGTGGCACAGTGGAAATGACTTGCTGCCAACACCATCGGGAGGTCTGCCACTGGATGGGATTGGCTTGGGTCTGGGGTACTGAGTTCAGGCTGGTGTCAGGTGGTGCACCTCAAGCCAGCTAGAGCTGCAATGTGGCCGGCATGTCTTATGCACGCTCCATTCTGTCCTATCCCCTGCTGAGTGGATTGTATGTGGTGCAATGGCATTACAGTATGCCAATGACTATGTGCCTCACTGGTGTGCTGCTGACACAAGTCTTTTAAAATGTATAAGCCGTGTGCTATTGTGCACATGTGTATGTGTGTGTGTGTGTGTTTGTGTGTGTGTGGGGGGGGGGGGGGGTAAAGATCCACAGCTGGTTGAATTCCCAAAGCCAAATTCAAGCAATACTAGTAATAGCAAGAAAAATAGCACAAACTTCAGAAAAATTGCACTGGTAATACAAACTACAGTACAGGTGAGAAATGATAGGAAATTCAGTAAGTGCAGTGTGACAATGTACATGCATGTGCAAGTGTGTGTGTGTGTGAGTGCGAATTTACTGAAAGAGTATAAGTGCGGTGAAATTTTCTTTTGTTTACAAAGATTGGGATCACGAATGCGAATGTAGACTGCTTCTAGAACTTCCAACTGCTTGAAACTACTTGCAGAACGAACAACATTGAACCAAGAATCATCATAATTTACACTCTTCCAGTAAATTTGCACTCACACACACTTGCACATGCATGCACATTGTCACACTGCACTTGCTGAATTTCCTATCATTTCTCACCTGGATAATTTTTATTACCAGTGCATTTTTTCCGAAGTTTGTGCTATTTTTCTTACTATCCTTTTACCAAGTAGTGGTTGCGACTTTGGCGATGATTTGTAAGAAAAGGTCTGTTCCCCACACCGGAGCTCGCGCTATTCCGCCGACTTTATTTGACACTTGACTGACTCACGACTGCCGTCCAGAGCACATGAGAAGTCCATCGAACCTTCGACTCGGCAAACCTGCAAGAAAGCACCACTCCTTGCTCAATACACAGTGTTTCGGGGAATTCACCCCTCATCAGTTGAGCTTGAGTAGGCTGAGGAAGATTGTGCCTGAAGAGCACCACTTAGGCCATCATTTTTTATATCTATGTTTCGCGTCAGTTCAACTTCTAGAATCATATGCGAGAGGTGGAAAAAATAAAAAATTGCAAAATATTAAAAAAGGCCCATCAGAGGTGTATGCACTGTACATAGCACAATAGCTCGTGCATGGTGTACATTCGAGAGAAAAATCGTACATCGAAGCACAACATCTGGGTTATCAGCATGAGTAAATATTCACTTTGGACAGAGGAGGCAACCGTTGGTGCCCATGCTGCGCTGGATTATTGTACTGAGACTTCAGCAGCGGTGCAAAGAGCTCCGGAACAACGCATCCTCTCAGCTTGAGGCGATCAATGCGGTCTGGTGTAAGCTCATAGAATATTGCTCCCAGATGCCGAACAAACGATTTACCAACGCTGGCCTAGAGGCCATTTCTGAATCCCACCTTCGCCGTATCGCAACCAGTCCACACTGATGACTCGCACGATCGTACACTCACTGTGCATGTTCGATTTTTTTTCCGAAAAAAGTCAAAACGTATGCGTGCGGACGACGCGAAACATAGCTATAAAAAATGATGGCCTTATATAGTGCTCTCCAGGCACAAACCCCTTTTACCCTCGGGTTTTTTCACTTCAAGTAATAGCAATTGATACTTTTAGATGAGGCTCTGAAGGTGCTGCTTAAAGAATTGCCTAACATCTCCCTATGGTACTAATGTTTGAGTGTGTATTTGTGTGACTCCTTCGTGTCAATGTCAAGTATGGTGATCAAGTAAAATTAAAGTTCACACGTTTGCGTTATCAAGGACGGTGATAAGACCAGTGTAATTCTAGAGTGGTGGGTGTTGATGTTGGAGCTGGTCTTTGTGACGAAGGTCGTATCTCACCAGTCAGTTGTAGATGTTGTTCATGCCATGCTGTTTAATTTGATCTGATGGCAGTTGTGTGCAACGATAGTATGATTAATTTTGGTGTTTTTATTGACCCTTTTGTTGTCTTTGTTTCCAGGGTAATAACGATGATCTTGTCTTGAGCTGTGCTCAACGCCTGTGCAGGACGGAGGCGAGCACTGTCGATCCAGGTACTGGGCAGTTTTGTACGTCTCTCTCCTCCTCCTCCTCTCTCTCTCTCTCTCTCTCTCTCTCTCTCTCTCTCTCTCTCTCTCTTCTCTCTCTCTCTCTCTCTCTCTCTCTCTCTCTCTCTCTCTCTCTCTCTCTCTCTCTTTCTCTCTCTCTCTCTCCCTCCCCCCCCTCTCTATCTCTCTCTCTCTCTCTCTCTCTCTCTCTCTCTCTCTCTCTCTCTCAGGTTTGGTTTTTCCTCAACTGGAGTATGCACCATTGTACCTTCACGCTGCAGTTGGCTGGAATGTGCTGTGAACAGTGTTTGTTGTTCTTGTCCTCTGGGCTATGTAATTGTTGACAGCCAGTTGGTCATTCCGTGATAGGCGTTTAGTGAGTTTTCTTGGCTGTGTCATGTTCATGTATCACATGTCACTTTGCTGTAAGATCACGTGGGGTTTTGCAGATGATATTTCACAGTGCAGTGTCAATAAGAAGTTCAGCTCTGTGTGTGTGTGTGTGTGTGTGTGTGTGTGTGTGTATTTGATTGTTTTTCTGCAATGCTGTTATATGTGCTGTCCTGTCTGCAGCTAAGAATCTCATAGAGGTGAAACGAAACACCGTCCTCCTGACAGAGGACCGCAACCTGCGCGTCAAGGCTCACCTGCGCCACATTCCAACACGTGGAGTGGCACACTTTCTGGCCTGGTTCAAGAACAAAGCGTGACCCCCATGGATGTGACCCCTTTCAGATTTGATTCCCAACCACACTGGTGTTATTTTGAGTCTTTTTTTACTCCCAATCGCACTGACGCTGGTAGTGTCCTGCTACAGCCTACAGAGCTCACAGTGTCCAGGGGTCCAGGGGTCCATGCTAGTAGTGGCCAAGTACTGTAGACCACCATGCTGGCTCATGTAGCAATGACTGCTGGGTATAGTAGTGCTGGCTTGGATGCTGTCATCACCTGACTCTACTATTTAATACTGTAGTCTGACACACAAGTGAAACGTCCGTCAACAACAAGGACAAGGGCAAGAAGAACAAGAGCAAGAGGGAGTGGAAACGAGACGAGAACAGCGGGTAGTGACCAAGAACCAAACAACAGCGGAGCAGAGCCACGCCATGCCCGCCACAGTTCAGTGTGGAGATTCTACAACTTACAGTACAAGAGCACGTCATGACGTACCTGTCATTGCAACTATGACTGTGTGTCAAGCAAGCACGCCACCAGTACACCAGTACAGGGACTATCTACTGGACATCATGTCTGTACTGCATGTGCAGCTGCCTGTGGCCTGTCATGGCGGACATCAAAAAATAATAGTCGACCACATGTACAGTCCACGCCTACCTTTGGCCTGTCGTGGCAGGCATGGAATAATGGCCACTCCTTGACAGTCCACAACTTGTGCAATGGCTCTCCTCCAATTATGGCTTCGTAGCTTCTGAAAATGGAATAGAGAACCACTGTGCTAGCTGTGCAGATCGGGACTTGTTTCTAGCTATTATGGCCAGTAGTAATGGGACTCCAGCTCCTACATTGCGTGGTGGTGTGGACCAACGCAGCAGCAAAGTGTGTTGTGTTTGTGGTCGATGAAAGTGAGTATTAGACAGCGTTGTGTTTGCGTGAGTGGACCCTCACTCACTTGAGAAGGGTGCCAGAGTGCTTTCAAACTACTTGTGAAGGCCTTGACATCCTCCTGATTGCATTATTGCACCAAGGCCAAGGCCACTGGTTGCACAGTCACTGGTAAGTATGGTGGACAGTCACTGCAATCATGATTGGAAAGGAGTGTCGTCGCGTGCAAACGGAGTTTGTGTTACAGCCTGCATACCTTTGCATTGCATGCATGTGCTGCTGCGTGTTGAACACGAGCTATAGTTAGTAGAGTAGTACATTGTAGTTAGTAAGGTTAGCTAGCAGCAGTACAGCTACTGATGCAGTCTTGTTACTGTTAGTGTTTTACTAAAAAACGTAGTATTCACCCAGGTCGTGTTACACAGTACCCCTTATAATGAGCTTACTACAGTAGTTTTACTGCCTAACTGCCCAGCAGCTATGCCAGGCATGCGCTGCTGCCCATTACCACATTGTGTTACATGTGTTCCTGGCCTTATGCCAATATAATTACTTCGTACATTACTAGTACTGCTAGTAGCTTCTCCAGCCAAAAGCCGTTTTGCAATGCCAATTGCCATGCTGTGTGTTGTTCCAGTGGTAAGCTGGACTCATTGCCACTGGCAATCCTGCAACTGCACTCTGCAGGAATTCTTTGAACTTGTTTTAGGCTAGTAACTTAGTTTTGCTTTGCTTGTAAAGCATGTGTCACTTACTTTCCGTGTTCCTTTTCTTCTTCTTTTTTTGTTTGTTTTGCTTTTCACATCTTATGACATGCCTAACTTTTTCTTGCATGTTCTATGGCTTTTACCAAGAGTAGATAAGAGTAGTGGTTATGTACTCTTGCTTTTACCAAGAGCTTTTACCACTTTATGTCAAGTTTTGCTGATCCATGCATGGAACCTTTTTTCTGTGTTCATACCTGCCTTTTCTTTGCGCAGAGAACCCCTGCTGTGAAGGTCTTCCTGGTCAGGAAACCTAAACAATTCCATTCCACAAGTCTCGACCTTGTTTGCTCCTGTTCCGAAGGGTGCCTAAGGGAACAAGAAAGATTAATTTTAGGTTTTCAACAGCGAGTTAAAACCGGCGCAGATGCTGACTATCATGCTTGCTTTGCTATTTGCAACAGCATTGCCTGCATACCGGTAGTCATTGGCAGTGCGTGCTCCTGGAATGTGTGTGCTTCTCAGTGTCGACAACAATACATCCTTCTTGTGTCTGAAATCAGCATGACCGATTGTTTTGATTTTGCAACAGTACCAGAATCCCCTAGGTACATCGTTCATGCATGGAGATTCGCCAAGATATGTATGAGGAGACTCAGACAAACCGTAACTGTGGTAGGCCAGGCCAGCCAGATTACAGAATCTGTCGGGTTGGTAAGGTTGTCACCGGACCAACTAACGCGTTTATACTTTTACTTGTGGCCACCACCAACCCATGTTAACTACCGACTACTGTTAGTTAGTTATAATGTTTCCAATACAGTACTTGGATGTATAATACAACCCACTAGTACGCTTGTACGTGAAATATAAACCATCATACAAACCTCGGCTTCGCCTCGGTTTGTATGTCGGTTTACATTTCACGTACAAGCGTGCCATGTGTTGCCCCCGGGGTGGCTTCCCTACAATCCGCCATAACGAAGTCCGTGACATGGTAGGGGAGCTACTCACGGAGGTCTGCCACGCAGTGGCAATCGAGCCTCAGCTAGCCCCGCTCTCTGGAGAGGTGTTTACGGCTGCATCGGCAAACACCGCCGAGGATGCCCGCGCTGATGTCCGTGCCCGTGGCTTCTGGACCCGAGCACAGGATGCTTTCTTTGGCGTACGCGTCTTCCATCCTGATGCGGCGTCCTACTCGGCCCAACCACTGGATGCCCTACTCCTTCAGCACGAGCGCCAGAAGAAGCTGCAGTACGGAGAGCGAATCCTCAATGTGGATCGTGGCACATTCAGCCCGCTGGTGTTGTCAACTTCTGGTGTTGCCTCCCCTGAATGTGAAAGGTTCCCTCTGTAGCTTGCTTGCCAGGGCTGATTCCAGCATGCCCTATGCACACCATGTTGCATTACTAGTATGTGCGCTGCAGGCTGTCTTTCGCGCTGCTCCGGTCCGCTGTCATGTGTGTCCTTAAAGTTGGGTCTCGGTCGGCATACCATCGTCCAGCTAACGAGCTCAGGCCAGGGAGCTGGCGGTGGTTGAACGCCGGATCTAAAACCATTTTGTGTTTTAGTGTGACTCTCGCCATTCCGGAGACATATTTTCCACACCTGTGTACTATTTTTAATATTATCAGTTCCTATCATACCCTGGTTTCTCATCATTGTGTTGCCTTTGCCCGTACAAGAGGCTGTTTCTTACTAAAAAAAAAAGCGTACTGTTGGATTGTATTATAATGTATATCAAACACAAAGTATGAAAGACTATGAATCCGAGGCTATGGTATCATAGGACCACTTGGAAAATGCTTCCGGCGGTCCTGCAGTGTAGGTAGAGTACTAAGGGCTCCCTGGCTCAGGCTAGACCTTGGGCATCGGAAGGTTGGTATCCGGGACTGGGAGGTACCGGTCAACCATCGGCGGTGCACCTTTACTGCTTTAGCGGAATGTCCTCGGGTCCAGCCCTGATATGAATGTTTGAAATAATTGCCACAGCGTGTCCGACTCCCTGGATCAAGCTCCGGCGTCTGTTACTGGTAAGACTCAGCAAAGAGCTACAGCCGTGCATGCAGGCAGCGAAATCTGCACAGCATGCCATAAAATGAATAGTAATTGCATAATTTTTATAGAGACTGCAGAATGCAGATGTACAATGCAATCAGCGCCACATACCACATGTCTTAGTTCACAGTTACAGTACTACACTACGGTCATACTCATTAGTTCCCTCCAAGGCTCCATGCGACTTGCTACACTACAGTGCTGGCACCTGAAATAATGTGAGCTCAGTCACGGGGTCGGATTTCAGTAGCCAGCACTGTAGATCTTCATTTTAGTAGTTAGCCGTGACCGCCATAGCCATAGGTAGTTTCAAGTGTGGCTCCGGGGATTGTACCTCGCACACCTTCAAGACGTCGTGTAAAGTCTCATCGACGCCAAAAACTCGCACTTCTCACCACTACACTAGTACTAGCCGGTTCATCACCTCAGCTCACGGTTCCTAGATCCTGTTTTTCCTGATCTTGCCTGCGGGCTGATTTCCGCTTACCTCAAACCTGAGTTACCTGCTACAATGACAAAGTTTTGACGTCACTTTACCATTGTTTACAGTAGACTCTACTGTATATAAAGGAAATACTAATACACTGACTAATACACTGACTAATACACTGACTAATACACTGACTAATAGTAATACACTGACTGTAGCTTGAAACTATTCCGGTACTGAGGGCAGATGGTAACGTGTGTGCTTCTTCACCAAACCGTTCCATCTGCTCTCAAGTGTTACCCACGCCATCGTGCCACTAAGTACGAGTACAACTTGAGTCATGTACTGTACAAGAAATCACCGTGATATCTGACTCGGCGAAGTAACTGTTAGTTCGTTTTGCAGAATGCAGTTCTCGTCGTAACTTCTCGAGTGTGAGCAGTCTGACTGTGGGTCCGGGTGCATCACATCCTGCTAGCTAGCTGGGAACCTGACTTACATGTAGTGACTAATCTAGACTAGAGTAGAGTAGATCTACTCTGTCTCTGTTCACCATGGTGCACACAGAGTCACACGCACCTCCGACACCAACTGACCAAGAGGCAAGACAGTTTAAGTTGGACTCCCAGCTGAGCTGACCTAAGTTAGCTCCCAGCTGATTGCCACCTGCAATCTTCCACCATGATGACCATAGCCTGCCACACTCGCTCTAACTCCAAGAGTACATGAGGGTATTATCATGCACTCTTGCTATTTAGTAGTAATACTTCAAAGCCCCGCATGCAACCAGGCAATGAAGATGAAAAGGGACTGGATAAAAAAGGCAACCGTACAAATGTAGTCCTCGCCCCCGTCAACAGGGTCAGTGACATAGCCGGAGCAAGAACGTTTATGATGTATCCGGGTGTATATGGCCACGCACAAGACCATGTCAAAGCCAGAGAAGATGAGAAGAGCACACGCACACAGAAGAAAATTAATCATGCACATGACAGCTCGCTAGCCCAAAGACACCGACGAGTCGTATGTACGAGCAATAACCAACAACATACCCAGGGCCTATGCCTAGGCTATAGGGTAATGCTTCCTGACACGAATAATAAAATTCGATGTCGTGAGTTACCGTTGGAGATACTGTTACAGCTAGTCAACGATCTCTTGAAGAGGTTGAAGGAAAAGAACGCCCGAAGTCTGTGAAACCCAGTGAGGGGCGATCAGCTCTTCTCGAGGCATAAATCCACGACGTAGCCATTGCGGCCTGAGTAGGAAAGGAAGGAAACGAACGCCGGCAAGAAGACAAGTTATCCGTATGTTTCCTTGTCGCAAGCTGATCAGCTGGGGAGTGAAGTGCAGACGTTTATGTTGCGAGGTCAACAAGCTCTGGACTCCAAGCCGTGCGTGCACACACCGTCACTGAGTCTGTACTCTGTAGTGTAGATCGAACTGTGCGCGGCTAGCCTAGGGCACACTGACCAGAGCTAGCACGTGCTGCAGCTTGTCGAGCTAGTCACTGCTTGCGCGTGTACCGTTGGTGTACAAGGGTGACGCTGTCGGGGTACATCCGCGTCTTGGTACACTTCTGGCCGTGACATGGTGGTAACTGGCGCGATCCCCTCTCTTTCTCTCGTCACTCGGATATCGATCATAGTGACATAGACTACTCTCCGTACACAGACTGCGCTGGGTGTGCAGATCTTCCGTCGATCGATTCCTGCATCGGCTACATAGATCATACTTCATAGATGTGCACAGTCAGTGCAGATCAGAGTGCAGTGCTGGGCCCGCGCGCACATCCCTGGGGAAATACTTCGTCTTTGTATCCTGACTCCTGAAAAATGGTCAGACAAGAGAAGAAAAATATTTCAGCAGCTCTGCAGATTTCAGGTTCGGTGTTGGGAACATGAAGAATAAAGCTAGATCAGTGACTGCCTCGCTTTCACTCCAGTCGACTTATGTGTGAACTTGATACTTGCAGGTGTGGAAGGTCAATACCTAGTGCACTATCCGAGGGTGTGTTTCCCCAGTGAGCGCCATAATTACCACAATAAAGTGAAGAGCAGCACGGACGCGCACGTAACTTCGTAAGCCGATGGCCGCTGCCAGTCCCAAAGAAGGTATTTTGCGCATCGTCCTGCTGTATCGCATCGATCGAAATTCCTCACCCAGCGACTGGTCCCTCAGCAAGCAGCATTTGGAAGATGTTGGCAGTTGCAGAAACTCGGCTGCGGACCCAGAGACCGAGTGGTCGTCTGGAGGTGCAAAGCCCGCAGTGTGCCTTTTGCGACAGATCGCTGGGCGTGTGCAGTTCGTCGGCAAGTACCGCAGTGGTCTGAAGGAGGGTTCCTTCTCCGCGTGGAGCGTGTTCCAGGTACGTAACCGTCGTTAGTATGTCGTGCGTGGTGCGACTAGACGGGGAATTTTGTCCCGCTGTGGCACGAGTCTCGTGCACTTGTAGGTTGGATTTGGATCCTGCCCCACTACATCAAAATCGTATTGTTTTGGTTCAAGTCCCTTTGATGGACGCTTTTGGTCTTTTCTCGTCAGTGTCTCACAATCAATACATCCCATTATCTGTTTCTGTACAATGTATTATGTAGACATTGTAGTCTTTTTCTCGGGTCAGTGAGTGTCCATCGTAGCGTTTCAGACAGGGATGCTATTGATTGTAGTGTGTTTGCTGTTGAAGCCTCTAGCTAGCTCCAGGAGCCCAGCCAGACTCCGTTGTCGACATATCGCGCAATATGACTTTTGTGACGACTGACGGTGCTAGCTATGACAGTGTGTGGTGCTGGTATATCCCATGCCATGGTGTGTTTACGAGAGTGTGCGTGTGGTGACTGCCGCGGTTGAGAGCGGTCAGAAAAGGAAACACTTGTTGCACGCCCCGCGTTATTTACTGGGCATGGGCTCACTCTCCACTCCTAGCGAGTAGCGTGTCTCTAGCTGTGTCTACATGTATCTCAGCACACTCTCCACTCCTACGTCCTAGCGTGTCTCTAGCACTCTCCACTCCTAAGTCCTAGCGTGTCTGTAGCCTCCACTCCTAAGTCCTAGCGTGTCTCTAGCTGTGTCTATCTCAGCACACTCGACAGCATGTCGTTGCTGAAAACATAAGTGGATCAGTCTTTGTATTGCGTTTCTTTGCTCCAACGTGTGTGCATTATTTTCTTCTCGCGTAGGAACTAGTCCGTCAGTTGCTCAATCTGGAACGGACCAGCAGGCCGCTCTGCATCTATTCGCCTAAAAAGGTCCGTGCACGGGGCAGCGACGACAGGGAAAGCAAGTGCGCTCGTTCCGGACAACTCGCTTCCTCTGGCGGCACTGCAACAGCGAGTGATGAGAGCAGCTCGTCGGTGACGGCGGCCACGACAGCAGCAGGTGAGGTCGTGCTACTTCGCAGCCTATCGGACCTGCTATCGCTGAGTGATGCCACTGTGCTGCAAGTTGCTGTATCCACTTCTCCGTTACGACGGCATGTGATGAAGGAGCTGGAGTGTGCTTTCGGTATCACCCCACCACAGGATCAACTCCGAAACCAGCAGGTGCAGAGTCCGCGAAGACGTTCGGAGCCGCTTTCAACTGCTCCACCTCCATCAGCCACGTCCAGGCCGGAGGTAACTTCGACTTCGAGTTCGAGGTGCGCAACGCCACCATCTGCTCCCAGAGGGGCCCATGTAAGTCGTGTGGTTGGATTGTTCGAGGCTGTCGCTGCGTCGGGCAGCTTGACCGATGCGGGCACGAGCAGCGTCATCAATCGTGTGCCCCGTGTTATCTGTGATGTCAATCGCAGTAGTGCATTGAATGGTTGTTCCCAGAGTGTATCGTCGATTCCTTCAATCGCGGGCAACCACCAGCAGAACAAAACCTGTACAACGACGACAGATGCGAAAGTGACGACCCACCGAAATATAGAAAGTGAGCGGAAAGACGCGACATCGTCAGTACCCGTTTCCAGCTCCACAGCAAATAAAAAGACTGCAAACAGTCCTAGTACTAGTAGTATTCCGCGTTTGGTTGCACAAGAAGCACATCGTGCTCTAGTTGGACTGCAGGTTATCATGAACAAACAGAAATCGCCAACTGCATCGCCGGAGCACGTGTCGGTGAACGAAATGAATGCAAATCTCAAGGCTTCATCCAAGTCCGATGTTGGATCACGTCGCGGAAGTGCGCCAGCCAGTGATGCAGCGGAAATAGTCACCAAAGCCGAATCTACAGAAGACAGCAGCGGTGAGAGGTCGACATTGTGTGCTGCCAACGACAAGACTGAGTCACGAGTAGAAGTGACTGTCGACTACCGGGCCAAATCGAAGCGTAGCATTCTACACCGTCGCAGCTTCCGCCAGAAGAAAGTGGAGAGGCGAAGTGTTCGCAGTGTCGGTGATGCGGAAATCTATCGGCCACAGTCCATGCAGAAAATGCACTCCGTCGACGAAACACAGCTCGGCGGTCGGAAGGACATCACAGCCGTCGCTGCGCCGGTGGTCGTCAAAGTGCGCGACAAATCCCAGTTGTCGGCTGCATCGTCATCTTCATCCTCCAGCATTCCCTCACGTCGCTGGTCGAGCTACGTGGAAGGAAGAAAATCATCAACTCTGGACTCGCCCACATCACGTGAGTAGTAGTCTGCACGTACCGTGCTTTTTCTCTACAGTCTCATCTTGAGTCTTCACTGAATCTGGGCCCTCTCCTAATCTCTCTTTTTCAAATAATGTTTTGTTGTCCAGGGGCACTCCAAACTATAATTATTGGCACATGCCTCTTATGATTATCTGTCAGTACTGTCCATGTTGCCTGTTGGGGTGTGTTATCTTTTCCCTGTTCTGATGTTAATCACTGGCCCCTAAAGATAGGAAGTATTGGGTAATTATGGCAGGATGTACGTGTACGTGTGACATTCACTGAGGCCCAGCCGCCCAGGGTCTACTGACCTTTAATCCATTACCACTTTCCCACTACCAGCACAGTGCAGTCAGTGTTTAGGAAGAAACTTAGAAGTGCAATATGTATGGGTATAAGTGGTCTGTTGTCCACTGAAGTGGGTGAGATCCTGCTATACTGTGTTGACATTCTCTAATCCAAGCATAATCGAATTGTTTAGTTAGCGGTTGATTGGCAGCCGTTTCCATGACAGTGGGCAGTGAAAACATTGACTCTAATGCTGAGCATCTGCCGACACAAGTCTATACTGTCTAGACTGGTGAGTACTAGTAGTGAGTAGTGTACAGGGTTAGATCCAACACTCAGGCAACCAACCCTGCATCTGCAGACTCTCTGTTGCTGCAGTTCTGTTGACAATGGGATGATCCTTGTGATCTGAGACCAGTCTGAGAATCCAGTCCAGTGTTTTGTTTTTAGTCTCAGTTCTGGGTGAAAGGGGGCGTACTGGGGAGAGTGGAGAGCCTCTGGAGGGCTTGTGGAGGATAGTGGGGCACCTCTACGGATACACTAGTATCTGATATCAGCATCCATTCGTAATCACATTCTACTTCATGGTTCTCTTTCTATTCACATTTGAGTGACAAAGGAAGCAGGAAATCAGTGGCATATATTACAGATTATCGCTTGCAACAGCTGCAGCAGTTACATGATTGTACACAGGTGCTAGCAAAATAATTGCTTGCCCCTTTCAAACCACAACGTCATCAGCTATACAGTGTATTGTGCAAGCATAATGGAGGGGGCAGCTTAGAGTGGTATGGTGTAGGGCCAGTGGTCCAGTGGACCTTTACCTGGAGTGTTGTAGGTAAGGCTGTGGTCACTTGACGTGTAAAAAATAGGCAGTACCAGACGCTGAGTCCAGTTCTCTTTTTTCAGAATACTAGTTGCACCCTATACAGTCCTGGTAGTCTGGGTCAGTTTCAGAAACTCTCTGAGTACGGCCCAGTTTCACACCTGCCTCTCCTGCTTCACTGTTCTCTGCAGTGTGCTTAGGTACATTTGTACTACACACACACTCTCTCTCTTTCTCTGTAGCCAGTGGAGGAAGTACAGTTGTGCTCAGTTGCTTGTGGCAGCAGAACTTTGAAACTGTCAGTCTTTGGGTGGCTTTGGTAGTTTGAGGTTGACAGGTGCTATGAAAGACATACAGTGTACAGTGTAGGGCTTCAGGACCATCCTGGACAGTACTGGTGTAACTTTTGGGTTGGAGGGTAACTAACTTGCAACTCAGTAACTGTTACTTCGTTGTATTATAAAGTGACTTATGTATCTGTATCTCTGCCAGGCTTTGTCACCATGTCCCGTTGAACCATCTACATGTACATGTATTGTACAAGTCTGCTAGAACACTATAACTGTATAAGGCAGATGTACATGGACCTAATCAATGTAATGGTGTGGATTGACACCTTTGGAGACAAGAATATGGCCAGAGGTCAGTTGTACATGATTGTAATTTGTATTGCGGGGTACATGTACCATGTACCGACCAGACAGAACTCAGGCCAGGGCGGGCACTGTGCCAGGGTGGTCATTAGTCAATGTCCAATGTTCTGTTTCAACCCAGATTACCCCTGAGTGGGGGGGGGGGGGGTATTGGGGCATGGTTAGCATAGTTCAAAGGAAGGTCATTGTCATTTATCACTATACTAGTATGAGAAAGGAAGGAGTATGCTGGTCAATGATTCACTGTGCAGTTCAACTAACTTTCTGAGAGATAGCGCCCAGAAGACGTTCTGACTTTGCCTGTGTGTGTGTGTGTGTGTGTGTGTGTGTGTGTGTGTGTGTGTGTGTGTGTGCGTGTGTGTGTGTGTGTGTGTGTGTGTGTGTGTGTGGTGCTTGGGCTCTGGGGGTTCTAGTCATGCGAACTGTAGAGACGACGTTTTCCATGGATCATAATAGTATCGCTGTAACTACGTCCAATCACAATGCAGGGTGAACAAATGGCTGAATCTTTACTTTACGTGACTGCAAAACATGTGAACATGTAAGCATGTCACTCGGAGGTGTGGATATATGTCAGTATGGTGATGATCACGACTCGTGACTCCTTTCTCTTTGGACGAACACAGTAAATGTGAAATCGTTCAAAGCACTGTAATCAAAAAGATCTCTTTGACGGTCACTGTTGTGTTTACTCGTGACCGCGAAGTTGATTTATCCCCACACCCCAGGGTTGCGTTTGAAGTGGTTCCCTGGCTATTGTGTATTGTACAAGCCGTTGATCAGCTTACAACCAGTAGTACAACATTATTTTTGTGCCAAAATCGGCACAGCTGTCTGTTACCGGACATGGCTTGAGCCGATTGGCGTTCTCCTCACCTCCATTGCCATCCTTCCTCAAGGCGGAATTTAAACATGCCTCGAATTCACAACGTGCAGTACCTCTTAATTGCAGCATGTAAGCATGTGTTCCCAGCGTAGTAAAGGTCTGTGTATAAAGGAGAGTATGACAGTTTGCACATCTGTACACTGGGCATAATGCCAGCATGCATCTCCCCCATGGTTGATTACTGATGCACATGGTGAGGTGCGCTAGACCCCATAGTGAAGCTGGCTAAGCTAATAAAACACCGCATGGGTCTTTAAGTACAAACTACCCTTTGCTTGTCTTTCCCTCAAACCAGTGAACACCCTTCGTTTACCAATATCTGACACTATTGTGGGTCTAAGTATATACTACCCTTGTTTGCCAATGCTTGACACTCTTTCTATTTCTGACGCACCGAACTATCAACGTTGATGTACATCTGTATTGTGTGTTTTGTTCTATAGCCGTTCATTCTCCGCATCCTCCATGCGCATTGAAGATGCAAGCATCGCCAGGGGAACCCGGCTGTGCTACGTTAACCTGGGGCGTACCACCGTGAGTAGCGCCCTGCTTTTTTGCCAACATACACACCACAGTAACCATCACCGCGTAACTTAAGTCATACACAGAATCATTTACCTTGAACCGGCTCGTACCCCCCCCCCCCTCACCTGAAAGCCACCCTGGCCTACACAACAGGATCTGTAACATGATCTGTTATAATTTCATCATTCACGGTTAGAGTCAGCCCTAGGCTGCCGAGAAGGCATCATTGCCTGCTTGCTTGATTAAGTAAGATAAGGAAAACAACACTATACCACAATGAATGTCCATGAGCGGAAACCAGGGTTGGAAAGCTGTCACTGTATGCACAGCAGAGTGGTGCACTGACATCTCACTCAGTGCTTGCATGGCCCGGTCTGGTTCCAGAAAATAATTGTATCCTCCTGCCCTGGGCACTCATCCTCTCCGTATTGTGACTGCCCATGCCTCGTGCAACCGACACTGCAACAGAAACAACTCTTGACACATCTCAAACATATCAGCCATTGGCATACAACTATAAGTATGCTGTACGGTCTTTTGTTCTGTGTTTAGAGCCCGCAGCAAAGCAGCCAAAGTCCTCGGTTACTCTGTATTTCTGGACAGCGAGCTGGAGGTGACTACGGAGGGAGCAGACACATGCGAAGTCCAGCTAGTGGAACTGGAGGATGGCCGGACGTACAGTGTAACTGTCAAGTAAGAGTGGTTGATTGCTGGGCGGGCATCATGCATAACACGTGTTTGTCTGTGACAAGTAGGCTGGATAATATTCACATAGTCAATTAACGGTTACAGGCTTCAATGACAGTCTGCTGAAGACTGATCAGTTACACATCATTTAGTTCATAAAATGAACTTGTGGTGCTTGCAGATGCTTGCTTTGTCGTTTATTAAACTGATTATGGAATGATGTGTTTGTTATGATTCATAGCCTCCCGTTGGTCTCCTACACATTGCCAAGTATTAGTTGTTCGAGGTGGTCTGAATGTCACACTTGTCCCATTTTACGTCATATCCGGTTCCAATTACATGCAAATCTCAAACAAAGAAAAAACAGGAGGTCTTCACTCAATTTGTTAAGTGCTTTGAGCCGCAGGTTGTAAACGCATGACCACCACGGTGCTCATTGCACCTTGTATGCGTGTGTGAGAGAGTGTGTGTGTGTGAGAGAGAGAGTGTGTGAGCGAGTGTGTGAGTTCATGTGTGCACGCGTGTGTGAAGACAAGTACATCTATTCTGCTAGACTTGAGCAAAGTACCATTGAATTGGGACAGGCAGTATTACATTTGGCCACCCAAACTCATAACTTATGTCCCGATTCTCTTCTTTCCTGGTGTGTAGGTCGCGGGGAGCTGTGGAAGACTCACTGCCATCAGCCAAACTCAAATACACGTACCATGAAGGCGGTCGCAGCAGCACCTGTGAGCCGAGTTCAAGTACCAGCCGTTCAGTGCAAGCTCCTGCTCCCAAGTCGCCGCTGCGTCCAGCGTCGATGTGTTCACAGCACAGTCAGACATCGGTCTTCTCCGCCGCGGTGGTCACCAACCGTGTCAGTGGCCATGGTGGTGAGCAGCAGGGTGACACGCAGGAGGCAGAAGAGCCACAAACTGAGACCATGGTAGCGCTGCAAAAGGAACTGCGCTCCCTGCTGACCCTGTCTGTTAGCGAGAGTACACGAGAGGAGGATACCACTCCAGTGGTCCGCAGCTCCAGCAGCAACAGCAACACTAGTAGCAGTGGGATAAGCGCTGGCAGTTGGAGCTCGTCTCCAATGCAGGACACAGTCATACACAACACGTCCCCATCGCACCGTACTCACCTATTGAACAACGCGTCCAAGAAGAGAAACACATCGGTGCGCAGTGCAAGCCCATTCTCTCCACTCGGAGGCAGAACGGTGAGATCTAATGAGTCAATTTGGGTACGAGATGAAGTTGGATGTGTCTACTGAGCCAGCTTACGGCCATGTATAGCCAATACCCTACGGCCCCAGGGGAGTAGCTGGTCCCCCATTGGGGGGGGGGGGGGGGGGGGGTGCACGGCCGCATATGTGTAGGATGGCTGGTGCATGTCATTCATGGTCATTATGTGCATGCTGAACCTAGGTCGAAAATTTTAGGGGGGGGGGGGGGTGCACGTGCCCCATGCGGGCTACGTGCCTGGGCCTTGCACCTAACTTGAAGCGGCGTGTGGATGTGACGTTATTTGAATGTGTGTGGTATGTTTTGGCGGGGTCTGTTGTGACGTGTGTGTATTTGTTTGTGAGTGTATTTGTTTGTGAGTGTGATTTGTCTAGTATGAATGTGTCTGGGATTGTTCTAAGTTTGCATGACCACTTCGTATTGTTTTGCTACCCTGTCTCTGCAGGACTCAACGTTGGATGAAGTGAAGCAAGCACTCCGCCAGCGCCGAGCACCCCCACCGACAATGGCAAAGCCTTCCCGTGCCGCATCCGGCAAACGCTGGCCGCTGCGCTCCGAAAGCTGCAGCAGCGCCCTACCGCCGAGTGAGGGCCACGCTTTGCCGTCGTACTGTGGCCGTGTATCTCCACTCAGCTTAGAATGGTAAGCTCCACACACTCACACTTGAGACGATATATTTCTAGCCAGCCGAGCCGAGGAGCGAGATAGGCGAGAAATGATTTCTCCAGCAACATTTTTTCGTCTTGCGAATATGGCGTCTGATGATTTTTCTTTTGTTGTCGTTCCTTTTTCCTGACTTCTTCAGTCAATGTTTGAGTCTCACCAGTGTCGCATGTGGCTGCGGCCTACTACCCCTCACTTTGTGTGCTCCTGCCTCTCGAGATTGTCTCTGTGTAGTTGTAGGCCAGTGTATGTGCAGCAAGAACTGGACTGTAAAACGACAAACTTTCACGGCGGCAAAATTTAGCGTTTTAGCAAACTGGACCAGTTAGTGGCGATAAATTTTAGCGATTTTTACCTTCCACTGAAAATCTTCAAGAATTTTATTTTACGAAGCCTCGGAGTGCTGGGACGCAGAGTGCATGAAGAATGAGAGAAGAAATCAAAGAATGAAAGAAGGAATCAAGGAATGTAAGAGGGAGTCCAGGAATTAAAGATAATCATAAGGTGAGTACTAGTACTGGGAGAAAGGATGGCGTTTTCGAAGAGGGATCATCGGAAGACTTTCTCTTCGAACTGCTGGCCACTGCGATACTAATGGCGATAAAATTCAGAAGACCTCTTCGAGCAGTACAACACTAAAAAAATCGACGCAACAGAAAGCTGGCCAAACACTCCAACACGTTCAACAACACTCTCCACAGCACCGAGACATTCTCCAGTCGATCGTTTTATTCTCTTCTGGTTCAAGTCGCCGTACTCCAATGACAACTAGCAAGACTAGTGTTGGTACGTATTAAACTCGCGCTTTGGACTGTAGCATCGATCAGCGCTGTGAATGTGCAGACAGTCCAGAGTCTGTGCAGTGCATGTAGAGACAGTGCACGATCGATCATCGACGCATCGCGTAGTATATGATTGTACAAGTTTTATATTCGCGTGTCAAACCTTCGCGATTCGGCCCTGGTCGCGAAAGTCGCAAAAGTTTGTCGTTTTACAGTATTTGCCAACTGCTCTGACTCTACTGTCTGCACAAGTGACACAGTTCCAGAACAGCTAGAGAAATGTCAAACGTTTCTGCCATCGGCCATCACCAGTGAATTAACAGAGCTGTCAATACAGTAATTGAATTGTCCAAGCGGTTCTCGGTGCAAATAAGGGATAGGCAGCACATTGGTTTCTCCCATATTTTTGCTCACGGATTCTTTGGTTCCGGTGACTCTTGATGAAATGTGGGTGTGTACGTTCTGTGTTTGCTTTGTTTTCTTGTTTGTTTCCCAGGGATGAGTCATACGGAAGCCACCTTTCTGCAACAGAAGTGGCCAAGCCAAAGAGGCGAGCCTGTAAGCTCATAATCTGAACTAACACATAGCATGTGCGAATTGAAGTCGTTGGGTGGGATAATGGAGCACCTGCATTTTGCTAAGGATCAAAAAGCAATCTGAAAATTATCCCAATTTCTCTACGCAGGTCCTCTGGAAATCGGCTGGGATTGATTCTGTCTAGCACTTCACACTCTGCAAAGGCATGCGGTGCCTCGGCAGGCGGGGAATGTGCGCGTAGCCTGCTGTTTGCTCTTTGGAATAAGCACGAATATCCACTGTAAAAATAGAGTAGAATTGTCTGATCCGACTGAGGGGGCACGTGCTTCCCGTTGTTCACGTCACTGACTGACTGACAGTCCTCTTTTGTGATGTGCATTGCTTGTTTCAGTGTCTGTGGAGGGCGAGGAGCACCATGGAAGCTGGGTGTGAAATGGAGCTTGATGATGCCTGCACAGAGACTCGATCCTGCAGGAGCTGGTCCATGGCTGGTGGGCTTGCATGCTCTACCAGCCCTGCCACGGGCGCCATCATCTGGACACGATAACGTTTACACGATTGCACTTCAGGCACGCCACAGCCCTACTGTAGTGTGTTGTTTGTGTGTACTGTGCATGGCATGTATGATTGTCACAAGTGTTACCCAAGAACACACTGCATGCCTTGGCCTGCCACAAAGCCGAATTTCTGTATTGCAGTGCACACTTTGGCAATTCATCCGGACCAATTCAGGGCTGCAGTTTGATGCTTTTTACCGTTCACTTGCTGATACGTGCGCCTGTTGACTATCGGCATATACTTCATTCAGAGATGAAACACTTGTTGTTGCATTCGTTATGTTTGTTGAAGAAGAACCGGCAGCACGTTCATTGACACATCTCTTCGTTTAACCGGCTTACTGATATCTATTGTGGACTAACATCCAAATTAAATTTCCATATTATTTTTCTGGAGCTATCAACACTGATGAAGTATTTGTGGACTTTGGCCAAAACTCTTTACACAGCTTGGCTTTGACCAATCGTTGACTTGTGTGACCTACTCTTCTTTTCCACTCCGGCTCTATTTATGCGTACAAGAAAAATGCTTCCTTCTCGGGAGATTTCAAGTAACTTGGGCGTCAGTTGCCATGGTTTGGTGTTGTGTGTGCATTCCACACCACACACTAAAGCCTTACAGCCTACAGGCTTGGATTTGTTGGAATGGTCATCATAGCTTGGCTTGATCATAGCTTGGCTTGCGGGATGTGCACTGCAAACTGCAAGCTGAAAGGCCGTGGGTGTAACTTACACTGGAGTTCCCACCCGTACCCCCGCCCCCAAAGGACTGGAACTGGCATATCTGAAGGATGTGAGTTTTGTTGGAGCCATGGAGGTAAGGCCTCCATGTGATCATGGGGATATGCCGGCTAGCGATCAAGCTGTGAGTGTATTTTGATGACAGTCTAACTAACTCAGTAACTAGTATGGGTGTCTTTGTCGCTAAGGCAATCCGAAGTACATCGTCATACTCGCACAGTCACATACTATCAAAGTACAATGTACACAGTCAGTCACGGTACATGGTACATGGTATTGGATGTGATCTTTTGTGTCCCTCCCTTCGGCATCCTAGAACTAATACTTAGAAGAATGTATGTGAGAGCACAGTACACTGTCACTGAAGACGATGTAAAAATAGTCATACGTACAACTAACTTATCGCTACAAATTTCATGTATTTGGTCTTCATGGCCCCATAATGATCTTTTTTCAGTCCAGGTTGGTTCTTCACCATGTACCAGCTCCCCTGGGCCCTAACCGATAGCCCTGTCATCTGATCGGCCGCATGTACATGTTGTGGAATGTAAATAAATGAATTATTACAATACGATGACCCTGCCGGTCGGTCTACAAACGTCGGTCACCGAGTGCATAGCTACTAGGTCGATCAATGCCAATGATGAAGAACGGATGGCGCTATCCAAGGCCTGTGTGACTGTGTTCCATTTCCCATCTGGCCGATTGAGCAAGCGCGGTCTTCTCCCGAACTGCAGGTAACTACATGATAATAATACATGTAATGACTGTATCTACTTTCTGCAGGAACAGGATGGTCATGATGAACCGTGGATCCTACTATACTGTTACCATCACCAGTACAATGACAAAATAGTAGAAAAGCTGGCAGGATCGCTTTTCTAAATGTGTGCGCATACCGATTTATTATAATTCATGAATACGTATACGTAGATGTGTACCGCAGCGAACGCCTAGCGCTAGCTAGCTTTTCTTCAGCTCTCTGTAGCTAGCTCTGCCATGCATGCCACTCTCACAAAGTCCAAGTGTGAACCTGGCATTCCGCGGTCTACATCGGCGCGGTGACATCAATTTTTTTGTAGGAGGGTTGATAGTGCTGACTCACTGCACTGGTGTCACACACTGGGTCCTCCTCTCACGTGATCACGTGAAGGAGGAAATCCGTGCTTACAGCTACATGTACCGGTTGAAAAGCTCCGTTCTGCACAGAGATTTCTTTGCCCATTTCCACTAATGAGTAATGACAATGTAATGTGCCACTCTGAACTCCTCAATACTACAATGTAGTATCATGTATAGTGCTAATAGCAATAATGTCCACAGTCCATGACTGTACTATACGTGGTGACCGGTGATCGACATTCTCTTGCCAGTTGCTAGTCTTTGCTGGTCTTCCAATAAAAGAACTAAATTGGGTGTGAAACGGTTAGCAAGATCATTGTGGTATACTGTCTGTCAGTGTGTCACACATGTATGACATTCACTCCGTCATGCAGAGTTCAGCCTTCCCAGTCCTGATGGTCACGGCTAGCCTCCGCGACCACTGACTCCGTAGTGTCCGCATGTGCACAGACACTGAGACAGTCAGTCAGTCACACTATCACCAGATCACGCAACGGTAGATCTACCACTAGCGGCCTGACTAGGTCTAGCGCTGACTCTCGCCAGCGTAGACAACGTCAACTAACTAACTTGTCTTGAGCCAAAGCAACAGATTACAAAACCCAACAGGAGATAGCTCATCATCAACTCGGCCGCAATGATTGATTGCCGAGCGGTGAAGCTGTGTACGTGCGCGGTGCTGATTATCATGACAATCAAGAGTATTGCTCCAGGAGTTGTAAAGATATCCACTCCCAGTCCCAGACCTTCGCGACTCGACTACATAGCTCACCCTCACCCCTCACTGCTAGCGTGCTGCTCAGTCTTCCTGAGAAGAGAGTGAAGCTTTGAATACCACCTGCTCTGCCTCATAATAGTCTATACTAGTCGCACATCTACCGTCATGCATGTAGTCATGTACATGTAGATCGACCACGGAGTGCCAGTGGCAGCACCAGTGCCGCGAGTGCCAGTGCGGCAGTACAGTGGCAGTGTCCACGATGCCCATACTGGGGCCATAGCCTCAGATCATAGACATAGGCATAGACATGATGATAGGTAACGCCAACTAACGGTTAGACTTTCTGCAAATGCTAGTCTTGTTGTAGATCATCTTACTACAGTACAGTGTACTATCTACAGTGGCGCACATGCACAGTGAACAACCTTCTGAACAAGACGTTGAGCCTTTCCGTTGACCGGTACTGGCTGGCGGCCTCGCCCGGTCATCCACAAGCGTTTGCCACAGCTTCTGCAGTATGACAGAGCACTGCTGGCTGCCATGCCGCTGCAATGTCTGTACTGCAGCCTTGCAGGTCACTGAGTCTGTCACTGTCCAGAGATGTGTTCGATACTGGAGCACCAGCCTGAGCAGCATTGCCATAACCTCTTTCAGCTAATGCAAGACATGTTTGTTGAGGCTAAAACTAACTATGGTTGTAGCTATAACAAGCACTACCTCTGCCAGTGGCCGTCGTCGAAGAAAACACTCCAGCCAGAAAAAAGCTTGCTCGTGCAGTTGCTTGAATCTGCAAGTAACAGTTTCAGCCACACCGAAGCGAACCTGCGGCCGCAGTGCGACCACATAATCATTCACATAGCTCCTCTCCAGCTTGGCCAAGGCCAGAGCCCAGTGATCAAGCTGCTGCATGTTCGCAGAGCTCGTGACGGGGACAGGCGCGCTGGCGGCTCGTGGCGAAACACGGCAACGTGACGGCAAAAGTTCGTGTTCGCCAATCAAGTTGTTTTTTACGAGGAACCTTCCCAGGTGCTAGGACACGAGGTGCCGAGGTAGATAGCCAGCCTCTGGGTGGTGTAGACTGATGCTGTCGTCGCTGTGTTGCTTGCCTTATTCTGCGTGCGAGAACCACTCTACAACTCTGGAAGGAATACGCCACCGCATCGACCGTGGACCAGTTGGAAGTCGAGTGTAAGACTTGTCGCAAGGTTTGTCGGGCACGGTAGGAAGATCGCAGGTCGTGAGTGGACCACGCAGGCTGTTTCGTGCAGCAGCTACAGCTGCCATCATTGCGGGTTGACCACTGGTTCATATCAACTATCAGCATCATCATCATGTCGCGGGGAAGCTTTCACGTCGCTTTGCCGCACCATGGATCACCTATGAAAGCCGTCCACAGCCGACCCCCGTCGTCATCATCGGTGGGAATCTCCAGACCCACACTGCAGCTGGGTAACAACACGACCACCAACAACAGACCTTCGAGTGGCAGCTTGACGACGACTCCCGTCTCTGTCAATGTCCATTCTCGACACACTAATGGCCACGCAAGTAATGGAGGAGGAGGGGCAGGAGGAGGTCGGGGTGGTGCCTCTGGTGGTCAGGACCTCTCGTCCCAGCCCCAGGCGTTGATGCGTGCCTCATGTGAGGCGCAAGGACAGCAGAGATCAGCGTCACCCAAGGAGAATGCCAGGGATCAGCAAGTGTTTGTTCTGCGAGACAGTGAGTCTGCTTGTTGTATACTGAACTATGCAATGGCGTGAGTGCGTGTGTGTGGTGTGTGTGCGCGTGCGTGCGTGTGTGTGTGTGTGCATGTGTTCTCTGTATCATTGGTACATTGATCACATGATGATGCTGAGGAATGTGTACTCATTACAACTAACCAATAGGATTGACACTAATTACGATGACCCTAGCAAGAGCAAGAGGGCGACTGGATTGTCACTTGACAAACCCCTTTTCTACTGTGACAAGCAAGGGGGATTACAAGAAAGCATCCTGCCTTCAAAACCATTGTTCTGTCTATGATGAAGGTCTGCGGACCATAAGACAATGATTGGTATCTTTACTGTTAGCAGTACAGTGGATCATGACTGTTTGTACTTAGTATACTAGTAGGTAACACTAATTATCAGGTATTGCAAACAGTAGCGTGACTAACTGTAAAGTTGGTATGCAAGTGTACAGGATTGGTTAAACCAGTGCTACTGAGTACTGCATTGCCATGGATACTTGCTTCGGGTGTCTACAATTATGTGTAGCATGGCAAGAACACAATTTGGCCTTTAGTATTCCCAGTGCATGTAAGTGGAAGACCAGTGCGACAAATAGTTTCTTCATCATTTTAGTCTTCATCATAATCGCGGTGCCAGAAAGTATCTCTTTAGGGAGATTGGGTATTTCAGGGATTTCCTCAATTCCTTTCCCAAAGACCATGTACTTGAAAGTCACAATCACAGCAGGCTGAGTCACGAGTGAGTGTCACAGTGCCACAGTGTGTAGCTGCTGCTGGCATTCCTACATCATGCATGGCAGGATGGAACAGTGACTGGGCATGGCCTGTTGGAATGTGACTGGTACTATCATCGTGTAATCTATAATGTAGATGAGTGTCCATAGCATGCAGTATTGAGCAACTCAACTACTGCTCATAGACATAGGCTAGAGCTGTGTTTGAATGACTTCCTGTAGCTGCAAGGTGTGATCAGTGGGTATAGGCTAATTGTGCAGCCGTGTGAGACGGTACTCCTTTGAGACTGGCTATTCCTGTGCTGTCGGTATGCTTCACAAGACATTGTAACTGAGTAACTTACAACACCGTCAGGGCATACATACAGTGCTGCCAAGTAATGCACAAGTGATGACGAGTAATGCACAAGACAGTGATGACGAGTAATGCACAAGTACTGCCGAGTAATGCACAAGTACTGCCGAGTAATGCACAAGTGATGACGAGTGGTAAAACTATACCTATTGCACTACATGGCATAGTACAGTTTTTGTCATCAGTGTTATCAGTTGTAACTCAGATACACACAATCTCCGACCAGCTAGCTTTTTCGATCTTGTTTGGTCCCCTCAGCAGAGCTTAGGGTTACTGGACGAACCGATCGCAGTGAATGTCTTATGAACAACGGAGCATAACATTTTAACTGGCTCAAAGCATCAAAATCAGAGTGCTCTAACTGTAGTATGCCGGTGTATGCTGAACGTTGCATGATAACAAGGTGTGCATTGTATGGCAATTGCCAACTTTGTGATTTCTGTCACTTTTCTCATGCCAATGTGTTACAGAACCGCCGGCCACGCCGTCAAAGCACAGCAGTTCAACATGTCCGCTTCACCTGCAGTCTGTACAGAAGGTGGCCAGCGGTAACATTGCGACGCTGTCGGGATCCAGCTCTCGCCAAGCTGCACACATCTTTCATTTCACACTGGACTGGAAGAAGGTAAGAGGCCAGGTAGCGTATTTCCCCCGAATGTAAGTCACACCTTTTTATACTTCACTTCAGGCCCAAAAAAAGAGGTGTGACTTACAATCCAGCTTGACATAAAAAATTACTAACTGAAATGAATAATAATATTATTCATTTAGAAAGGAAAAGGACATAATTATGGATACGAGTTAAGAGTAACTCTCCATCACTGTAACTGGATACTATATACAGTCAGACTGTAAAATTATAGTATCCAGTTACAGTGATGGAGAGTTACTCTTAACTCGTATCCATATGTCCTTTTCCTTTCTACATTTATTTATGGCTCAACATCCGAGTTACAAATATTATTCATTATTTTTCATTTCAGTTAGTAACGTTTTTTATGTCAAGCATTATATTGAAACGATATGACATGGACCTGGAAAAGGGATACGACTTACAATCGAGTGTGACTTACAATCCGGGAAATACGGTGTTTGGCGTGCTTAGCGCCGGGGGGGGGGGGGGGGGGGGGAGGCACCTGTTGAATGCATTGGCAAGACCTCCTTAGTTAGTCCTTACCCTAGCAACTCTGTGCTGTACTAGGCTGTAACACCAGCCAGCTGCAAGGCACACTGTCTGAACTTACCATACCTTGCCTGCAGTTGCACGTAGTATGTTACCTGTGCGTGCAACTAAAGTTGTAACGCAACTTTTGTTACGTAAGTAATTACTTCATCGCACAACCGCATACCTGACAACCTTTGAATATCCCAGGTCAGGACAACTAGTGACCAGCAAAATGAGCAAAATTGAGGAAAGCCTTCGTGATACAAATTTTGCAAGGTTGAAAAACTGCAATGAACATCAGTACTTCGCCCTGAAGAACAGACTAGACGCAGTGAAAGAACATTTGAGGTTCGTCCCCCCCCCCCCCCAATGCTCAGGTAGTGGGTTGCCCTACAACAGAGGTTTGTGTAAGCTATCAGAGAATGCCGGTCTCGCGTCCAGGTACACTTGGTGGGCATTCAGTTGCTGCGATATCCAGCCAGCCAGGCCTCTCGTTCCACACTGGAGCCGACATGTTGGGCAACGGTTATGTGTCCGTCAGTAGAGACTCTAGAGAGATTGGCAACTATTGTAGACGTGGGTAACTTAGTTCTGACAGTTCTTCATTAACTCGACCACTAATCATACGATCAGCACGCACCGTCCGTACCTTCTTGATAACCGCTTCGGTGTTATCCGCCGTTGGTATGTACCTAACTGTCTTCCTCCAGTTGACCTTGGTTATGCTGGTTGGACAGCACACTTTCACATGCAAGACCAATATAGGCCCACTTGATCAATTTCAAACACAGCCACCTTGTAAAGAAGCTGGATCACAGTACGTGCAGCGACGGTTTCAAGTTACCATGGTAACCGTGGCCTCATAGGTGTCCCGTTTCGCTGACCTGAACACAGTGGGTGTGCTAGTCGAATGCACAAGCAGCAAGTTATGGTGTACTCATCAGCACAAAAAGTGGTGTACTCTATCAGCAAAAAGGTGCACGTGTCAGCAATACAATAAAGCAGCGCAGCAGCATGCACTACGGGTCAGCAGCATGTACGACACAGAGACACAAACGCAGCAGCACGTACGACAAAGAGCTACACGCGCAGCCACATGACAACAACTGTGCTGTAGAATTTTGTCAGAATGCGGGTTTTGTTGTTCCTGTATGTGTTATATGAGGTATTTTTGACCGAAACAGGTCACTGGCACCAACAGTATCCGTACTTTGATTACTGTTCGCTGCACGGATAACGGACTCGTAGCCTCCGTAGCCTCCGTGCCGTTGTGTCACTTCTGCTGAAGCTATGGTGGTGGGTGGGCAATGTCGCGAGTCGTCGCGGCGGCAAGTGATGGTGGCTACATGATGATTCTGAGCTCTTAACACACGGCTTGTGTCATTGATATCTGAGTACTTGACAAGTAGTGTTCATTGTACGGGTGACAGATTCAGTGTAGTTTTACTACATAGGAAGCAACAGCTGAAGGGATAGCAGTATGTTGTGCTGCTGTCGCAAATATCAGATACTTGTGGCTGCATGAGTGCATCTACATTGTAGCGGCAAGGCATCTTCCACAATAGAGAGGTGAACTCTCTCTCTCTCTCTCTCTCCCTTTCGAGCACTTCCCATCGTAGAGTCCTTGGCCAAAGCGATGAAGAGCATGGCAAAGCAGTCATGTTCGAGCCTGTGACTGGCATGAGTATGGAATTCTTGCAAACCTCCAGGGTTCTGAATGCCCTTCTCTCAGAAGTGAATATTGGCGACATTCACCTTTGTTGGTTTTACAACTACAGTCACTTTCACGTCTGCCAAAGGTCGCAAGACTGGACGTGTGTGGACACCCGCACAGCAACGGGATGTCTGTGCAATGCAGGGATTTGATGTGGTGCGCTTCGTGCATTACATTTTGCGAGAAACCCATCACACGATGGGGAAAAATAGATAAGATCAGCATTGGAGAGATCTTTGAGTCTCTTAGTCGCCTTCATGATCACTGTGTGTGCAGGCTTAGTAGATCCAAGGTATCTACCAGCAAAGGAATGTGTCACTTTAGAATGTAGATCACTGTGCATGCAGCGCAGGGGCAGGGGCAGGGGCCTCGGGAGGTATTTTAGAGTGGTACGGTCAGCCACCTGAAGTACAATTTAACATACTCGTGGAGTTGGAGTGGCTGCTCTGAAAATTTTTCGAAATGTGGAGCCCAGGTCAGTGCTTTTATTGACTCACAGGATACCATTCACAGGATACCATTCACAGGATACCTGGAACAAAGAGTGGCACGCGGTCAATACCGTAGTGACCATAGCATGTCCGACGCCCCTGATGCTCTAAGATTGCACATTGACCGACCCGTGAATGCGGAGCAGGAGGTGAAGTAGAACAGCACATCGCTCGGCGCTTGTAACATGGCGGAAGTGATGTTCTGTGTCTTGTGTTTTTCATTCCATCCCCCAAATGGTTTCCACACTGGGCTAGCACTATAGTGCACCTACACCATTTTGTATCTGTATGGCATCAATTTGACTTAGTGTGTGGGTGCACGTGGGCATGTGTGTGTGTGTGTGTGTGTGTGTGTGTGTATGTGTATATATATATGTGTGTGTGTGTGTGTGTGTGTGTGTGTGTGTGTGTGTGTGTGTGTGTGTGTGTGTGTGCGTGTGTGTGTGTGTGTGTGCGTGTGTGCGTGTGTGCGTGCGGTGTGTGTATGTGTGTGAGTTGGTGCATTTATGCATGTGTGTTTGACACTGTTTGTGTTTGTGTGCGTGTGTGTGTGTGTTCGTGTGTGCATGCGTGTGCGTATGTCTGTGTGTATACATACATGTTTGTACGGTGTAAATGTGCAGATGTGTCAGCATCGTGATCGTCATCACCAGTGGTGCAAAGTCAAATCCACAATGTTCGGTTACGGCGGTCAGCTATGGTGCATTAGAGGTCACATCAGCAACAACGTGAAGGACCCATCGTTCCTTATCATTTACCCCTCATGTCTCCTGGACTGCAAGGAGAAACGAAAGCGAAAGAAGTCCTCTGAACAACAGTCACCTTCAAAATCCATGGGCCATGACTCAAGTAGAGGAGAGGATCGGCGGAAACGCTTCAGTAGCAGTGATGGTGAATCTCGCTACAGGTAAGCTAAAGGAGCAAGTCGGGGTAGATAGTGCGGAAATTATAGTATTTGCCGGTCTTCTTTGAAGCCATGGAACTTACCCATGCCACCTATGAGGATAGGTTACTAGTAGCTATTGATATGAAATGTGAAACACGGCATAGAAGTGAAAGGCACATTTGCTGTATCCAATTTACAGAAAATGGAAGATCTCAATTCATTGATTGCGTATGAACAAGCGTGCACAGACGGATGGAGGAATATGATCTGGCATGTGTGTGTGCTTACCACCGTGCACAGGTGCAGCATGATGTACAAGCTCAGTCTGCTGTGCTCGAGCGACGCCAGCTCCGGGCGTAATGCTAGCGGGCAGAGTCTCACCGTCACCACTGACGACGAGGGGGTGATATTCGATGCCGGAAAGCCGCTGAACCCGCTACAACTTGTCATTCCCGTAGGCCTGTTGTCCTCCAAAGCAGTGGATAGCAGCCAGTCACAGGTATGTGTGGCAGGACTCAGGGGTGTCGGACCCGCTACAGTCACTACCGTCTTGACCATGCCACTCTTTTTTTTCCCTGTGAATCAATCAAATGCACTAATTTTGGCTCTAAAAGTTGGAAAGCCACCCCTCTCAACAAGTAAAATGTGCCTCAGATGACTGACCGTACCACTGTGCCTAAACTTACCTTCCGACGCCCCTGTGTGCTATCTAACAGAAACTGCTGCTCACTGGGATCCGATTATGTGAGTCAGCTATCCCGACTTGAGGTCACAAGTATCAGGATGAGCTTGATGGGCTGCTTCGTTGTTTTTGTGCGCGTTGCAGTACGTCATGGACGACATGTTACACTTCCGCTTGGTGTGTTGGCCGGTGAGGAGTATATTCTCCTGCAGCGTCAGTGTCATGGACCTTTTCCCCTGGGATGGCTCCAGTCAGCTGCGGCGCTTTGACCATGTCTGCTGGGAGAGCGAGGTGTTCCTATTCTGTCAGGCATGGTGGAGGCTGGTCATGTTCCCCAAAGGTAAACTCATTGCTGCCGCTACATGCGTTGCGGACAGGTTCTCCACGTGCTCTAACTTCTAAGGCTTGCAAGCGCTTTTTTTGCAGAAGAAGTCTCAATAGCTCCATTGGTATTTGACCCCCACTGCCCTCTTCTACACCGGTCTGTATCAGTTCCGAAGACTCAAGTTGCGTGTAAAATATCTTATTCTGCAATCTGTGATGTGTTGATAAGAAGCCAGTGCTGCTACTGTGTTTGGCAGTACCACAGTGATGCCACTACCCTTAGGCCACGCCGTTTTTTCTATGTTTCGCGTCACCTTATTCGATGAAATCAATGAGGGAGGGCGAAAAAAATGGCACTACCCTTATGAATGTAGACTGTAGACTAAAATCATTTAAAATGCCAATGGTGAATCCTGTTCCTGTCCTATATCGATTGTTTCGTGTACCGTACGGCCGTTCTGTGACAGGCCATGGCACGGGCTGTGCCCAAAGAATGACTGTCTTCCTGGAGCTAGTGGACTTGGCATCGACTCGCAAGATGCCTGCTCCCGAGATGCCACTCCTGGTGCACGGATCGTTGATCATCGAGCAGCATCGATCAGCGGCGGCCATGATGGTTACCGCTGGCCACGACAACATTGTACGGTCAACGCACGGCATAAGACATCGGTTTGATGTTGGAGAGTTGTGCGGATGCCGGGGTGCCCTGCTCTTGCAGGTAATATTGGCTATTCCCCTGCCTTTTCACCTCTCTATCTTTGTCTGTCTTGATAGTCGCTTCAATTCTTGTGCAGAAATGTAGCTCGTGTGCATTCTGAGTGGTGTTTAGCCTATTCTGAGTGGTGTTTAGCCTATTCTGAGTGGTGTTTAGCCTATTCTGAGTGGTGTTTAGCCTATTCTGAGTGGTGTTTAGCCTATTCTGAGTGGTGTTTAGCCTATTCTGAGTGGTGTTTAGCCTATTCTGAGTGGTGTTTAGCCTATTCTGAGTGGTGTTTAGCCTATTCTGAGTGGTGTTTAGCCTATTCTGAGTGGTGTTTAGCCTATTCTGAGTGGTGTTTAGCCTATTCTGAGTGGTGTTTAGCCTATTCTGAGTGGTGTTTAGCCTATTCTGAGTGGTGTTTAGCCTATTCTGAGTGGTGTTTAGCCTATTCTGAGTGGTGTTTAGCCTATTCTGAGTGGTGTTTAGCCTATTCTGAGTGGTGTTTAGCCTATTCTGAGTGGTGTTTAGCCTATGTCTGAGTGGTGTTTAGCCTATTCTGAGTGGTGTTTAGCCTATTCTGAGTGGTGTTTAGCCTATGTCTGAGTGGTGTTTAGCCTATTCTGAGTGGTGTTTAGCCTATTCTGAGTGGTGTTTAGCCTATTCTGAGTGGTGTTTAGCCTATTCTGAGTGGTGTTTAGCCTATTCTGAGTGGTGTTTAGCCTATTCTGAGTGGTGTTTAGCCTATTCTGAGTGGTGTTTAGCCTATTCTGAGTGGTGTTTAGCCTATTCTGAGTGGTGTTTAGCCTATGTCTGAGTGGTGTTTAGCCTATTCTGAGTGGTGTTTAGCCTATTCTGAGTGGTGTTTAGCCTATTCTGAGTGGTGTTTAGCCTATTCTGAGTGGTGTTTAGCCTATTCTGAGTGGTGTTTAGCCTATTCTGAGTGGTGTTTAGCCTATTCTGAGTGGTGTTTAGCCTATTCTGAGTGGTGTTTAGCCTATTCTGAGTGGTGTTTAGCCTATTCTGAGTGGTGTTTAGCCTATTCTGAGTGGTGTTTAGCCTATAATGTACATGTACATCATGTACATACCCTGTCACCGTTCACGCTAGCAAATACTGGCTTGGGAACGAAATTTGGCAAATAACTTGGTTCCGAGGCATGCCATGAACTTTTCAGTATGCACTCCTGCTGTGATACTTCAGAGTTTGTGTGTGAAATGTGTGAATGTGTGTATCCTAGTTCTTGTCCTGTACTGTGTGGATGTGTAGGCGGAGGTGACATCAGTTACACTCAAGTTTGAATCAAGGAGCGGACAACTTCAAGGAGCTTGGTGCCAGCCCAACGAAACTGCGTCCTCATTCAAGTACGTAGCGCATGGTGTCAATGCTTGGGAAGCCGTGCACCCCCCCCCCCCCCCACACACACACACATACGCACATGCCATAGAATTTCCAATTATGGCACAACGCATGGAGACAATCATTATGGTTCTGATTGGCATGTCTGTGTGTATATTTTGGGTGAGGGGATAACTTCCTGCACGTGCATGTAATTATTCACTCATTGATATTCCAGTAGAGTTGGTATTTCTAAACCATCACAGTCACACCTTTGCATCAGGCCAGTAAATGAAGCCAACGCTTTGTGTGCGTGTGTACATGTATTCTGTGCCAATGTATTTAGTAATAGAAACACATGTTCAATGACTGTGTTGCTTTGTATTCTCGTGTTTGTATTTCTGTTCTCTAGTGGGAGTCCGGAAATGTGGGCTTGGTATATGCAGAACCATCAATCACGCTGGCTACGGCCCGGATCAAGAAGTCTGAGCGCGAGGTCCTCACTGAACAACCTGTCATCCTCGTTAGATCCCCATCAACTTACCCATCGCTTCTCCCAGCTGTCGCCTAGCCCACTCTCGCCGGGGATACTGAGCGCAAGGAGCTTTGCAGACTCGCCGGGTTTCGAGAACGGCTACGGCACTTCCGAGAGCGTGGAGAGCATTGATGTGATTCACCCACTGCAGGAACACAGGTCTGTTTCGGAGCTCACCAAAGAGTTTAAACTCAGCTGCAGCCTACCACAGGATGATGGCGAGGCGTCGGTATGAAACTGTTTGACTGAACACAGCTGACCTAGAGACCCAACAAAGCTGACCTACTTAGAAGAATATCATATTCTTAGATTCTCCTAGCTATTCAGAAATCGTATGAGTGCATGCTTCAAACTACACGAGCTACGTTGTCCGGTTGTAAAGTACGTCATGTACATTGCACTGTGCTGTGCTGTGCTGTGCTGGTGCCTGTGCTGGTGCCTGTGCTGGTGCCTGTGCTGGTGCCTGTGCTGGTGCCTGTGCTGGTGCCTGTGCTGGTGCCTGTGCATACTGAACGCTGTAGTACAGTGTGCTGGTGCCTGTGTATACTCAATGCTGTAGTACAGTGTAGTGTTGATTGAGCAGTGAATCACATGATGTACTCAACTATACTTGATGCAACTCGCCATAACTTATCATGCTGCACTCCTGCGGGTTGATTCGGAACTTCACTGTCAAATAATACCATACCCATGATCTGTCCATGATATTGTGCACATGTGCTACGGAGTAGTTACTCAGTGGTTGGTGGATGATGCCAAGAACTAGGGCCAGTAGGGGTGTGCACGGGTAGTCGGGTACCCGTGAGGACCTCGGGTAGACGGGTAGAGAATAGTACCCGAAAACCCGAAGTCGCAGATGACATCATGTACAGGGCACGTGTACAAATCCATGTAATACTCTGCATGTCTACCCAGTGTGTAAGGGAAGGGGTACATTGTGGTGTTACCATGGAAACATTACCCGATATGGTACCCGTGCTACCCGTGGAAAACTACCCGAACCCGATACCCGAAGAAAATGCTACCGGACTCAGCACTACCAAGAACCTCAGACTTTTTACTAGCACTTTTAAAACTCGCCGGCCATCGGTTTTGATCTTTGTGCTGATCGCTGAAGCACAGAGCAGAGAGTCGTGTCGTTCAACCCCCCCCCCGTAACGTTGCACTGGCCTCCAGCTTATATCTCTAGGAGGGCACGATGAATGAGTAGCCGATGAGTACTGTTTCACCAAAACTATCCCGTTTATCACTCCGTTTTCTGTCAAAGTTCTATAGAGTTCAAGATTCACGAAGGAACAATGACAAGTACCCACTACTGACTGTAGCCAGCACAACAGAGCCTCATCACACTGTGTGAGACCCAGACTTCGTGGTGCTGATTATGCTGATCTCCCGGATACATTCATGCATAGTCTGCAAAGCCGCAAATTCCTAATCCTTCGGGTGAAGCCTCCCCCACTGAGCCTGTCATAGTGTGTACTGGAACCGACAGGGCGACTGTGAGTTTCATTTTTCTAAGTCCGAGTGTGAGGATGTTCCCCTAGATTTTAACCAATGCCGTTCGAGGAGGGGGGGGGGGGGGAGTATGATCTCTGTAGCAATAATAGCACCATCTGTGATGATAAGCAGTCCTGTACTGCATGATTTGTGTCTCTAGCCTCCGAGAAGCATTGCCCCTGCAATTTTGTCTTCTACTGCTGGCCATCTCCCGTTGCCAACAACTACTCACGTGACATTAGTCAGTGTAGACTGTAGAGGTCAATGAGTCGTAGCAAGAGTACATAACCCCCCTGGGGGGGGGGGTTATGTACTCTTGGTCGTAGGTCTACTGTGGAATCATGAGGAGAAGGATTTCGTCCGAAACCTTTGCCATGCACTGACCGTGCTAGTAGTTTGCCTCGGGCATTTTAGTGCCTGCATGCATCATCCAGTGACTTCCTCCGACATATTATGATTATGAATAACAATCCCGGTTGATGATTGCATACTAGTACAGTCTCTGTAGCATGAAACTCACTGTCAGTGTTGCAACAAACTAGCCGTGTGCCTTGTTGTTCTCTGTTACATGATAATATGTACGATTATTTGTCGTAAGAGGGGCGAGGCTTCCTGCAGCTTCGTTGGTCAGTGGGAAGCACTGGTGAGCAGATGTGCTCTTTGCCCTACAAGCACACAAACTCATTTGTTTCCTATAAGAACAACGTTTCGGCGAATCCTCATCAGCGGGTTGCACAAAATAATGTGCACGTCTTCAGGTGAACAGCTAAAATCCGATGTACATGTACATGTACAGTAAAACCTGTAACTAACGACCACCCCTTGGTGCCCGGAAAAGTGGTCGTTAGTGGCAGGTGGTCTTTAGTTAGAGGTTTGCACCGCGCGACCATATATGGATCCCATTATATGATATGTATGTCAAAATGCAGATAATACAATCCCCCACCACTTGCGCACTGACATTCTTCTTTCAGATCATACAACACTTGGAGAGAGAGAAAATCAAGTAGTTTTTTATACACCGGAAGCGATACGACCTTTTGACACGTACATGTATGTTGACTCACTGGGTTTCCAGAGCAGCGCTGGCCTGGCCAGGCAGTGCACTAGTACAGTCACTATCGACTCCATCCTCATCTGTGTGCAACTACACTGGCAACTGGTATCAGTGTGTAGATCTACAGTGGAAACTCAGTCGCTCCGACTTGGATGTAGTGTAGCGTAAACTGTAATGGTGTGTACCAGTACGTGATGCGGCGATGTTGCGAGTTTTCGCACCTTTCACTGAGTCTGTAGGCTATTACTGTACAGGCAGAAAATTTCGCTGGTCAATAATTTCGTCCAACTCCAAAGAAAGGGATTTTGTCCGGTTGAAAATTTAGTCCATGGACTATAACAGTGTATTGAAACGCTGGACAAATCGACATTCGTCCGGCACTTAATTTAGTCCCAAAGCTCCTTGGACGAAAAAGACGAAATTAAATTCCAGACGAATATTTCTGCTTGTACAGTATCCGCCATCGTATCCTGGCCTGTGTTCCGTACAGGTGAGTACATGCTAGCTAGCCAGCACAGACTGTCAGCGTGACCTGGTGTAGTGGTGAGTCTGGTGACTGAGCTGTGTGATTGCACTTCGACAGAGAGCCGCTCAGTCTTAGTGTCTCCTTCGAGTAGTAACATCGATCAAAGAGCGCTTTGGATGCGCTCTCCAAGACGTTTCCTATCATGTTTGTTCTTGACAGCACTTGAAATTATGACAGGTGTAGTGCAATCCACACTGATTATTCCACAGTAAAAATGAGACTGCGCTCATTTGTCCAGCTAGCTGTAGTATCGAAACGACCATGGGAAATCATCAAAATTTCGAGAAGGAGCTTCAAGCAATGTTTGATTTACTACATCGCGGTCGCTAGTTAAAGGGGAAGTTAAGGCAAAAATTAAAATTTCACCAGTTGTAGTCTTCGGGGTGCTGAGTCGAATGGTCTTGGTCCGAGGAAGCTGAGACGCTCCCTTCCTACTTGAATCCCAATCGAACTCGCGCACTTCCACCGAAACTGGGTGACTGCGCCCTAGGAGATGGGGATTTGTATGCAAAATGTCACTAAAAGCGCCATTTCGTTCTTATAAAAGCACGGATGACCGCGATTGGCCCATATGTTGTAGTCTTTGGGACGCTGAGTCGACTGGTTTTGGTCCGAAAAGGCTGCGATGCGGCGTTCCTCCTTTATTCCCAATCGAACATGGTTGAAGAAGCGGTCACGTGCTCCTGCGTACACCAGTCACCTGGTCACCGTGCCTGCAGGGTACAACTTACTAGCCTGTTTGACCTTTTTTGGGTGCAGTCCTGTCACTCGAGTTGAACCCGAGTTGAACCTTGGTGTGAAAGTTGTCACCTGCTGGCGTGGTGACCAGGTGATTTGGGCACCCAGGATAGGGACTTCAATTGAAAAATCAAATTCGCGAGTTTTGCATAAAACGCTAGTTTTTCTAAACCGGGAAGAATCGAGAAACAACCTGTGAAAATTTGAACCCAAAATTCCAAGGCAATCTAGAGTTATAGTCGATTGAAGATCGGAAAACGGGGGAGAAAGTAGTCACAGAAGTAAATGCAAGTATGTATGGGAGGCGTGTGGTTTCCGTCCAGCACTGCACGATCTGGTGCGTACATGGCGATACAGGATGTGTGCATGCATGCAGTGTGCACGCATGCCGTGCGCGCCGACTTGCACAAGTCACACGTTTTCACCGTCACTGCTTCTACCAGTGTGCGCGCAGTTCACTCGATTTTTTCGTCTACCATCAGGAAATCGCCGTGGGCTGGTTTCTGTGATCATTTTCCTTCAACGGCGATAAAGCGCGAGCCTCAATGTTGTAGAATCCTCTTGGTTTAGGCTAATTCGAGGCCGCTGAACACGAAAATCGGGTGTTCCTCGCGAAGGCGAGTACGGATCTGGTCGAAATTAGTACTTCGAAGTGCACCCGCGCCAAGCGCGGAGGCATTATTTTTGGAAGCATGGCATGTGTGGCACCATTGGAAAGGTAATGACCTCAGCTACCTAAAAATAGCATCGACAAGGCCGAAAAGGCCGCGGGAGAAGATACTCGGGCCGCGAACTGCATCTCGAACTGCAGCCACGAGGCGCCCATTCACTTTGTACAGGCGAGCTGTGACTGCACTTTTCGCTTTTCAGTGACCGGAACTGAACTCCCTACCCAGGACCACGTGACCGCTTCTTCAACCATGTTCGATTGGGAATAAAGGAGGAACGCTGCATCGCAGCCTTTTCGGACCAAAACCAGTCGACTCAGCGTCCCAAAGACTACAACATATGGGCCAATCGCGGTCATCCGTGCTTTTATAAGAACGAAATGGCGCTTTTAGTGACATTTTGCATACAAATCCCCATCTAGTAGGGCGCAGTCACCCAGTTTCGGTGGAAGTGCGCGAGTTCGATTGGGATTCAAGTAGGAAGGGAGCGTCTCAGCTTCCTCGGACCAAGACCATTCGACTCAGCACCCCGAAGACTACAACTGGTGAAATTTTAATTTTTGCCTTAACTTCCCCTTTAAGTTACGGGTCAAAATTCGACATTAGAGAGGTTAAGTTACACGTTTTTTGCCCTTTTTCAAAACGCGGTGCAAATCTCACGTTACGTGTAATTTTTAGAGGTTAAGTTACACGTGCGACGTGACGTGAAATTTTGCCTGGCAGGATTCGGGTTTAGTTCGCACAAATATCAAATCTTTCAACAAACTCGATAAAACTCGATAAAATTCCGGAAACTCACACAAATTCGGTCGGAATAACCAAGCGAAACTTCCAAAAACTCACGTCATGAACTTACGTGCGGGACAGTCAACTCACGTAAAACACGTCAAATTTTACGTGAGTTTTTTCACTTTTTGACGTAAAAGTTCACGGACGTAAGACTTTTACGTGAAACTTAACCTCTCTACTGGGACAAGAAAAGGCGGTCGCTGGTCGCGTTCAGCAGGTAGTCGCTAGTCACAGTGCATTTTGAATGTGAGACCGTCCGTGCCTGACAAAGTGGTCGGTAGTACCAGGCCGGTCGCTAGTCACGGTGGTCGTTAGTTACAGGTTTTACTGTATGCATTACATAATTGTAGCCAGTGGCAGTGTTGTGAAGTACACACTGTATGACATTGTAGTGAACTGTCAATGTCGCTTTATTGCCGCTGAAT